GAGGAGAGGAGAGGAGAGGAGAGGAGAGAAAGAAGGGAAGGGAAGGGAAGGGAGAGAGGGAAAGGGGAGAGGAGAGAAAGAAGGGAAGGGAAGGGAAAGGAAGAGAGGGGAGGGGAAGGGAAAGGGAAGAGGGGAGAGGAGAGGAGGAAGGGAAGGAAAGAGAAAGAGAGGCGGGGAGGGGAGGGGAGGGGAGGGGAGGAAACTCACCTGAAGGAAGTCTGTCATGCCTTGCAGGAAAGCAGGCACGCCGGGCATAGCCACCGTGATGGTGGGAGACCCCATCCCGGCCACCCCGGCCATGCTGGAGCCCGCTGCCCCCAGGATGTTCCCCAGCAGTTGAGAGAACTGGAGTTCGGTGGCGGCTGCAGGACTCTGGCCCGAAGGGATGGGACCTCCCGGGGCCCCAGCTGAACTGCCCCCTGCAGCCGTCGTGGCCGTGTTGGTGGTGCCAGCGCTGGCTGAGGCTGTGGGAGGGGAGGCAGAGGTGCTGGTGCTGAACGTCGCTTGGCTGCTGGCGGAGGAAGAAGTCGACGAGGAAGTCCCGCCGCCCTGAGCTGCAAAGGCAAGAGAGAAGGGCCCGCTGCATCAAGCAAGAGAAGGTGATGGCGGATTGACGCCCGGTCCGCCATCGCACTTTCCAAAATCCCTCGCTTAACCCTAGCAATAGCGCTTAGCAATCGCACTTATGACTTATATACCGCTTCAGTGCTTTTACAGCCCTCTCTAAGCGATTGAGACAGTCCGCATATTTGCTCCCAAATATTTGGGTCCTCGTTTTACCCACCTTTGGAAGGATGGAAGGCGGAGTCAACCTTGAGCCGGTCAGGACTGAACTTCTGGCAGCGGGCAGAATTAGCCTGCAATACTACATTCTGACCACTGGGCCACTACGACTCCTAGGTGACTTTGTTGTCAATTCCCTTCCCTTTCCAAGGAAGACAATCAACCTGTTCTGACCCAGGCTTCATCAAACATAATTAATATCAGACTTGTTTTAAAAGCACAACCTATTTTATTGGAACGCTGGGAATTACTTACATTCCCAGCCAAAACTAATTATAAACAGTTCCCCAAGATAAGCACACACCTTTCAGTGCTGTGGAATATTGCCCAAAACAGAAGTCGGCAATTAATTAAAACAGAAACCCACCGAAGTACCAGAAAAAAACCAACCAGAGTACACAGAGCTTCAAGGAGGACTCGGAATCTATCGAACTACTTTGTTTCCTGCAAAGATTTCGTCACTGAGGTCTGACTTTTATCCCTTATGGGAGGGGCAATCAGCTCCCAGCCTTATTCCCGAGTCGCCCCTTCTGTTTCAGTTGCTCTCGCCTTCCAGCAGCTCTGTGCACACGCGCACTGGGAACAGGCTCCCCTGGGTCCTCTCCTTTGCTGTTGCCAGACTCCAAAGGCTCCGAAGGCAGCACCCCGCTCCCAGATGGTCCTGGCCCCGTCCCTGGATCAGACGCAGGACCCTCGTCCAAGTCCTTTCCAGTCTCCCTGACTGGTTCCCTTTCTTCCTCAGTGCCCAATTCTGCTGCCAGCTGCACCGGCTTCCGGCAAACCACAACACAACCACTAGTTCAGATATGAACCCTACAACTTCCTGTTCTTTTCCCCAATTCTCAATGTTCCCCCCCATTCAGAGTAAATTTCTAGGCCAAGAAAAAGCCACCCATTTTCGGCTCTGACCCAGGTGGCCTTCAACTTATGACGGTTCACTTAGTGATCGTTCAAAATTACAACACCGGGAAAAAAAAGGAACTGATGACCGTTTGTTTACACTTACAACCATCGCAGTAACCCCAGGACGGCGTGGATCAAAATCCAGACGCTTGGCAACTGACTCATATTTACGACGGTTGCCGTGTCCTGGATCCCATGATCCCCTTTTGTGACCTCCTGACCACCAAAGTCAGTGGGGATGCTAGAGTCATTTAACAACCGTTTTGTAACTTAAGAACTGCAGTGATTCACTTAACAGCTGTGGAAAGGAAAGCTGTAAAAATGGGGCAAAACTTACTCAGCAACAGCAATTTTGGCCTCTGTTGTGGTTTTTAAGTTGAGGAATACCTGTATTGCTACCCTCCCTTCCCTCCTTTTTTTGAAAATAAGTTTTAAATAAACCCACTCCTGCATCTCAACCTCCCGAGTCCCCACTCCGTGGTGACTTACCCACTATCACGGGCTGCATGAGAAGCTGTCCCACCAATCCGCTGATCATCTGGGCCAAGGAAGCATTGCCGCCCATGCCTGGGCCCTGCGTGGGAAGAAGGCCGTTTTGTCATGCCCCTGTCGGAGTCTGAATCCAAGGACAGCTGGCAGGGAGTGGGAGTGTGGCTCCCTTGGCTGTGGAGGAAACTGGGGAAGGGCAAAGTCTGGCTGGGCAGAGCAGGGAAGAGGTAGAATAAGGGAGAGGGAGTTCAGAGGAAGACCCAGGCCCACCCCCTCTTCACCCTAGGGCATGCAGGGAGGAACGAAGAGAGCAACGTGGGTTGCATGGCTTATGGGGGAGGAAAGGGCCCTGATTCCCTTCATTAGCTGCAGCTGGGAAGAGAGTTTAAAAGAGATGCAGGCTGAGTGCGGCAGCTGCTGCGAGCAAACATGAGTTTTATCTTGTGTTGACTGTGGTTATGTGTGTTCCTGGCGTCCTCTCAACCATGTTAAGTTATTGCTGTGCTTTCACGACTGGAATTCTTGCTCCTGCCCTGCCGGATTAAATTACCTCAGTTTGGCTTGATTGGATTTATGGATACAGTTTTTGTTGACCACGTTTTGGACTTGATTCTCTGCAACCTAAGGCTGTTCCTGTGAGTTTTTTCTCCAGCCAGAAGATAACCAGGACATTGGGGGCAAAGTTGGAGCTAATAAAGGGACTCCTACTGATTATCTGACTGTGTTGCCTTTGTGCCACGCCCTGGGTCATCACACGTTTATTGCAAGAGGCGGAAAGCAATGCAGAGAAAAACTCCATTGCCCTCCTAGATCTCCCAACCCTCATTTCCTCACCCCTTGTCCTGCTGCCGGGGGAGGCCCCACGTGGGTGGGCCGCACAGAAGGAGGGGAAGGCCTGGCAATCACTACGCGGGCCGGGGCTGACGGGAAGCTGGGGACCTGCTGGCCTAGAACACAAAAAGAGAAAGAACGTGATATAAGATGGTTCATTTGGTGACCGTTCAAAGTTACAAAAGTGACTTACGATCATCTTAACAGTTGCGACCTTTGCAGCATTCCCCGTGATCATGCGATCCAAATTCAGACACTTGGCATCTGGTTCATACTTATGACCGCCGCTGTGTTCCGAGGTCACGTGATCCCCTTTTGCAACTTTCAGACAAGCAAAGCCAAATGGGGAGGCCAGATTCACTTAACAACCGGGCTAGTAACTTATCAACTGCAGGGATTCACTTAACAGAGGTAAGGAAGGTTGCAAAATGGGGCAAAACTCATTTAACAAACCTCTTGCTTAACAACAGAAATTTTGGGCTCAATTGTGGTCATAAGTGGAACACTACCTGTATTAGGATCAGGGTCTTGGCACCGCAAGATGGAGGCTTAAGCTCTCGGGGACCCGGCAACTCCTCCCTGTTCCCCATTCCAGGAAGAATACCCCCCTCACTACAAGCAGTCCTCAATCAAGTCCAAAATTTCTGTCGCTAAGCGAGACAGTTGTCAAGTGAGTTTTGCCCTTGGTTACGACCTTTCTTGCCACAGCTGTTAAAGTGAATTGCTGCAGTTGTTAAGTCACCAGGTTGCGAAGAGAATCTGGCTTCCCCATGGATCACAACACCCCGGGGACACTGCAACGGTCATAAATACGAGTCAGTTTGCCAAGCATCCGAATTTGGATCACGTGACCAGGGGGAGGCTGCAATGCTTGGAAGTAGGAATAACGGTCGTAAGTCACTTTTTTTTTCCCCCAGCGGTGTTGTAATTTTGAACTGTCACTCAATGAACTCTTGTGAAGTCAATCCTACCCAGTGGTAGCAGGATTGCCAGATCGCAGCTTGGCTCTGCGGCCGAACTCAAGTCAAAATACGGCTAAATTCGGCCAAATTATTTTCTCTCACGGCCAAATTTTTTTATGCAATATAACATGAGGATATATTGTTTTTTTGTTTTTTAACTGTTTTTAAATCATCAAATCATAAAAAATAGTCTTTATTTGACAACGTGACGTGACGTCATGGGAATTTCTGCGTTTCTTTACTCACATCCAGGCTAGGCAGCTCACTTCAAATAACCGCTACTACCGTTTGGAAAGCTCAGGGCCAAATGCAGCGATCCTGAGGAGGGGGGAGCTAGAGCATGAGGGTTATTAGGAGGATCCACCCCCACCCCCCGATTGAAAAAATATAATCACTAAATAAAACGACACAAAAATAGCTATTATATATATATATTGTATTGAAAACCGTTATTCGGCCAAAATTTCGATTTCACGGCCAAGAAACTTTCATACGGCCAAATTTCCGGCCAAATATATTTGGCCGGAGACATGATTTTTTTTCACGGCCAAACAGATTTCTATACAGCCAGATTTCTCAAATTTGGGCAGAAAAACGGCCAGATGGCAACCCTGAGTGGTAGGATTCAGCCGGTTCGCACTGGTTCGAGTGAACTGCTTGTTAAATTACCCCCATCTCCCTGGCTATCAAAGTGGATCCTGGCCATTGCGCTGCAACGGAGAAACGTACAACGGAGCGGCCAGAGCAAGGGAAGGTGAAGGCTACTTTCCCTCTTTCTTCTCCCTGCTCCTCCTCCTCCCCCACTTTGTGCTGGCCACTCCATTGCCTGTTTCTCCATTGCACTGCAGCACCCAGCATCCACTTTGATAGCAGTGTGTGTGTGTGTGTGTGTGTGTGTGTGTAATTTAACAACCGGTTCACCCAGAGTCAGGTTGGCCGTCACAGGAGGCTCGTCCTACGTGTGCAGCATAGCTGGAGGACTGGCCAGGCCTTCCACGATAGCCATCCTGACCCTGGGAAAACTGGTTAACTTATTTGAATCCCACCATTGTTACCTTATCTATGTGCTTCTTGGCTGGCTTACCTGTAGCTGCTGAGGCCGCAGCTGCCATGGCTTGTTGCGTTATCTGGTGGGCCATGGCCTGCATGAACTCCGGTGGGAGGCTGGGTAGGGGCATGTGGGCACCGCTGCCTGCAGAGAAGCAATAACAGAACCAGGAGACATCAACAGGGCCGGAAAATGGGGGGAAACCCCTCAGCCAGAGCGGTTGGCCTCCCCCCTGGATCGGTGGGAGCCATTTTCCTTACCCATCCCTTGGGAGTGTCCGGTTGAACCGGCTGGCCCCATCGGTGGCATTCCGCCGGAACTGCCGCTGCCCAACTGGGAGCCGGAGTCTAAAGAGGGAGAAAAGGAAGTGGACCTCAAAAAGGAGAGGCCGCTCCACGTTGTAGATTGATTTCTCTCCCCTGTCCTCTTTCTCTGGATGGTCTGGATTTCATTTCAGGTCACATTTCCCCCTCCCTTTTTTTTTTCTTAGCGTATGGCACGCGCTTCCCCCCTCCCCCCCAAATAACACGACTTTAATCAAAATCTAGCAAGCTGATCTTTTTTAAGATGCCGAGAAGTGAAAGGACAGAGCACCTCTCCTCCCCCCCGACCCATCCTGTAACAATACAGGTAGTCTTCGAGTGATGACCGCAATCGAGCAACCTAAATTTCTGTTGTGAAGTGAAACGTTGGTTAAGTTTGCCTTATTTTTGCCACCTTTCTTGCCATAGTTGTTAAGTGGATCCTTGCAGTCGAGAAATTGGCAACCATAGTTGTTAAGTGAATTGGGCTTCCCCATTGACTTTTTGTTTGCCAGGAGGTCGCAAAAAGAGGATCGCATCGCCTCAGGACACAGCAACGGTCGTAAGGATGAATCGGTTGGCAAGCACCTGAGTTTTGATCAGGTGACCTTGGGGATGCTACATAAGGTCGTAATTGTGAAAAACGGTCATCAGCCATGGTGGGATTCATTTTTTTTTACTACTGGTTCTGTGGGTGTGGCTTAGTGGGCGTGGCAGGGGAAGGATACTGTAAAATCTCCAGTCAAAGGTGGGATTTGCCGGTTCTCCGAACTGCTCAAAATTTCCACTACCGGTTCTCCAGAACTGGTCAGAACCTGCTGAATACCACGTCTGGTCATCAGTCCCTTTTTTCAGTGCCGTTGTAACTTTGAATGGTCACTAAATGAACTGTTGTAAGTCGGGGACTGCCTGTATAGCTTTGGTTCCACTTTTGGGGGTCGACTTAAATTATGGGACCACCATGTAGGAAAAAAATACTAAAATAACGCTTAACATTTTGACTGACTTATTTAATCTGACTGTGTTAAACACAATAAACAATTATTATATTTGGGTCCCATTTTTACTTCTGGGGATTTCAGCATTTTATCCCCATGCTACCCTCCCAACAACCTGTACACAAGTGGTACAGAATCCAGCCATAGACCCCCTTCAAGGGACTTGTTAGTTCAAAGAATACAAGGCAACACATAACCCTGACAGGGCAAGTCACTGTTATATAAACAGAGACCAAACGCCATTCCCTTCTAGCACTGATGACGTTACCTAGTTGGGTATTGAAACGTCTGCAAGAAAACCACCAAGCTCGGAGAGCCCCGAAAAAACCCCCGAGTTCAACCCTGAGCTACAAGTATTGGGTTTTTTTATGAGTATAACTTTCCAAAACAGCCCAAAACTCACCCTGTATATTCATGTGCATCATAACCACAGGCTCGACCGTCTGATGTGAAATGCGGATGACACGGGGGTGCCCTGTTTGGGAGGCCTGAGGCAGGATAGGGGTGACCCCCGGGGAGAGGGAAGGAGGCGAGCCTTCGGAGGGTTGGGTTGACTCCACGGGGCTGGAACTGCGAGGCTGGGCTGTGGGAGGGGCCTGGGCGGCAGCGGCGGCAGCAGAGCCTTCCAAGTTGGTCTGGACGGTGCGGCCACCGTTGCCCGTCATGGTGACGGTGGTTCCAACGTTAATCTGAAGCAAGAACATGGAGGAGGAGGAGGAGGAGAAAGGGAGTTGTCTTCTGCATCCTCCCCTCTCGCTCCCTCGCGCTCTTCGCCCAGCCTCGGAAACCCAGAGCTGTGGCCCAAGTCATTCCCGGGGTTTGAGGAAAGGTACCCCAACCTGGTTTCTTCCAGGCCGAGAGGCCTCACCTGGATGGGGATGGCAGCTTGCTGCAGGACCATGGGAGCTGTGTAATGGGACATCGGCCGCACCACATGGAGGTGGCGGGGGGCGTTGCAGGAGAGATTGCAGCGCAAGTCCGAGAGGGCTACAAAGGTGTTACCCAGAAGGCGCAGAGACTCCCCCACCAAGTTGATAATGCGTTGGTCCTCTTCGCGCCCTTCCGTCTGGCAAAAGAAAAGCAGGACGTTTGAATCAAACGAAGCGGGGGTGTTACCAAGCCTTTAAACAAACAAAAAATCACCCCAAAACCTCGCTAGGCCAGATCAAAGAACTATTGGGCCCAGAAAAGGAGCACGGAGCTCGGGTGGTTAGGATGCTGGGTTGGAGGCTAGCAAGCCCACGTTTGAGACCCAAGTGAGGCTGAGGGGGGTGAGCTCCCCGTCACTTGCTCCAGCTCCTTGATAGGGACATGAAAAGAACACACACACCCCACAATGGTTTCCCCCGGGCGACAGTGATGTCACCGGCTAATCCTTTCAACCCGGAAGCGCTTGAAATGGTGGCTCCGACACAAATGGGATGGCAGAACCGAGACTCTGGAAGCCAGAGCATGTACGTCGAAAGAATATTTTTAACGGTAAATCAAAGAGTTCGGATGTAAAAAGAAGACACCGACCCAATTTCAGATCCCAGCAAAGGCAGAAATAAGGGGCGAAAAAGTAGCTTCCCAGGTTAGAGGTCAACTTTCCGTTTTTTTGAGAACCAGACTTCTCTTACGTTGTTGTTGTAGTCGGCGGTGCCAGCAGTTCCCAGGACCTCCTCGTACCTCTGCAGGAAAGGCTGGAGTCTGCTTTCCAACCCACGAAGCTCGCCCAGAACCTCCACGTACTCTCCAGGGGACGGGTGGCTAGGGGAAGAGAGAAGGACCCTCACCGTCTCGCTCAGTGACTGCCCCTTGACTCCTCTGGGAAACAGCCAGTATCCCTGCAGCTCCTTGAGGTTACCCCTCTACCACTTTGGCACAGCCCACCTCGATGGTTCCCACCCACAGTTCCCTACCCACCCTGATCTGTTGGCACCAGGATGGTTTGAAAGGGGGGGAGGGCTCCTCGTAGCCCCCCCCCCCAAGAGAGCTCTTGACATCTCTTTGGTGGGCGGGGGCAGCCTTCTTACTTGGGGGCGGCTGCTTCGGCCCCGGGGGGTGGCTCACTCCCAGAGGGCGGCGTTTCCTCTGCTGGCGTGGGCTCCTGGGGAGGCTCCGATTCGGTGCCCGTCATCGGTTCCCTTTCGGTCGGGCTGGCAGATGGCATATCCTCGGGTCCCGCAGCGGCGTGGTCGCTGGTGTTACCCTGGAGAAAAAGGGGGGGACAGGTGATTTCCAGGGGCCTGGGAAGGAGTTTCCGGGCAGCGATTCTACATTCCTGCTTCGGGGTTAGAAATTGGCTCACCTCTAGTCGGTTCAGGATACCTTGAATGTCCCGTAACATATGCTGGGCCATAACAAGACGGACACGAGGTTCACTCTGTGAGGGGGAAGGAAACGCCTGTTATGAGAAGGCCCAAGGGGGCCTCTTTTCCCTGAATCAGAATTCCTCCTTCCTTGCAGATCCCTCCTTGGGTTAAAACCAACTCTTCCCATTTCTTGGATTTCCTTAAGGCCATGTCCAGGCCTTCCTGTCCTCCTCCCCGTGTTGAATCCCCTCAGCCCACACCCAACTTCCAAACCTGTGGGCACTTCCCACTTCCGTTTTGACTGCATGCTTTTCTACTTACTTGGCCCCTCGAGCCAAGGTTTGTTTCCTGTAGCCATGAAGGCTCTGCTTAAGCCCTCGGGCAGGAAGAACCCAAGGTGCTACTAAAACAAAACCTCTGTGTCGAGGGCAGAAGCCTCCAAACATGGCGACTTTTAAGACTTGTGGACTTCAACTCCCAGAATTCCTCAGACAGCTTCTGGGAGTTGAAGTCCACAAGTCTTAAAAGTTGCCACATTTGGGGACCCCCTGGTCTAACAGAAGAGGCAGACAGGGGAGATAAGATCATTAAAGTAAGGAGACGTCAAGCTTTCTATATCCCAGTTTGCCTCATCTCAGGTCCAGTGAAGTTCCTCCTTGAAGCTCTTTAGGATGCAGAGAAAAAAGACTTCTTTTCTTATCCCTGAAGAACTGCAAATATTTTCCACGTTGGGAGCCTTCCTAACTTTGGGTTCCTTTCTCTTAATTTCTCACGCTGAGATTCAGTCCTAGGTCCCTCTGGCTGATATCTGACTGGCCCTGTAAGTACATCAACTCTACGAGACATCTAGCCCAAGTAGGAACACTTCAGAGGAGCTGGACCAACAGCCCACTATCATGTCCACTCGCCATCGTGTCTGGAGGGAATTCAACAGAAGCTGCATCGGCAGGGCACCAACTTGGGGAAGGACTGGTATGAACAGTCCTCAACTCCTTTCTTTAAAAAAATGGGGGGAAAATGCGCTTCAATTTCTCTGCCGTTTTTTTTCCTAAGGAACACAGAAGATCTCCAATGCAAGATCCCGAATCTGGCACCTGTAGAGTACAATCCTCCAGAATGATGCCTACAGACACGATGGGGTAGAACTATCTTCTTCATAAAGTAGCAGCCACTGATCAAAATGGCCCCCGGGCAGAACATCTATGGAGATTTCTCAGTCATTCAGGACATGGTTGTCCCAAAGGTGTTTTTTTTTCAAGAGACAACTGGACTTTTCTGTTTTTGTTTTGTTTTCTTTTGAAGACGTTTCGCTTCTCTTCCAAGAAGCTTCCTCAGCTCTGACTGGATGGTGGATAAATCCTTCCATTCCCCACCATCCAGTCAGAGCTGAAGAAGCTTCTTGGAAAAAAAAAAACCAGAAAGTCCGTTGCCTCTTGGGAAAAAAAAAAAAAAGCATCTTTGGGACTCTGGAGAGAACGTTGGATTAGTTAAATTCAGGTGCTTTGGAGAATAGCTTGACTCCCTCTTCTTCATGGCAGGCCCTGAGATATTGGGAACACTGCTGTCATGTCACCCCTAGTCCTTCTTTTAATCAAACAAGACATAACCAATTTCTGCAACCATTCTGCCAGCCTTCAAGATCTTCTTCCTTTGCTTTGCTTCTTTCTGGCTGTCATGAGTAAGGTGGGGGGTGGAAGGGGGAAAAGTATGGGAAGTGAGCTGGAGGTGTTAATAACTAATGTTGTATAAACTGTGGAGGGTTCCTATTTCTTGCTTAGCTTTCTCTTCGCAACTGCAAACCTTTATCTGAGTAAGCCAAGGTCAACTAATCATAACCACCTGAAGATGTCCACATGATGAGGTTCACAACTTTTAATTGGAAGAACCGTTTGAACTACTGGGGGTGGGAACATTTCAATCCCTTGATATATGTGATGTACGTGCCTATTTCCCCAGATTCAGAATTCTCTCGTTGCTACCACTTAACTTCCAGTAAAAGATATCTTTTCTCTAATTACAAGAGTCTAAGTATTTCTTTCTTGGATTTTGAACGGAGCACCAGCTGACACATTCTTTCTGTGTTTTAGCCTTCAGCCCCCTAATCATCTTTGCTGTTTCTCTGCATTCTTTCCATCTTTTTTCCATTGTGGCGACCAAAACATTTCAATAAATAAACTTTGTGTTAGAAAAAAAAAAGGTGGGGGGAGCATTTCTAGAAGTCAAATAACAATCTAAGTGGCCTGTCAATCGATCGGATCTCCTTACATCATGCTACAGTCAAAGAGTCTTGGTTATGCCCACGTATTAAAATAAACCCATCAATGTTAACGTTAAATTCTGTCCTTCCCAACCCACTTGTACCTGAATAGGAGCCTGGTCCATATTTATATGAACGTCCACAGACGATCCATCGTTCTTTGGAAAGCAGGGAGTGAGAAATAGACAGAGAAAAAAATTAAAAGGACCAAAAAAAAAAAAACCACCAAGGTAGGTGTGCAGGAGAAAAGAACAAAACAGAGCCGAAAAGAAGGTAAACAAAAACAAAACAAAACCACAACCCAGCAGATCACATACCCACATCATCCAAGGTTGCTCCCCACCCAGCGTGGTAAGATTCTTGAAATTATACATCACTTGAAAAATAATGCTGAAAAATAATGCCATGACTCTCTGTATGTTGCAGAAAACATGATTTTCGATACACCGTTCAGATGTGAGCGTGCACTCTTGAGAACTTGTTTGTGCTCCTGTGAAGAAGTCATGGCTGTGGATTACCAGTCCAACAACTTCCCAAATCACATAGGTGCAGGAGTAAAAAGAAGCAACAATGAGCAATAATAATAACAAAAAAAGGAACAAATTGTGACTTCCAGCGAGGCCTCCTAGAATATTTTAGCCAATTTTTGTTTCTTTTTCTTTAAAAAAAAAATTCCACGCACACCACAAATGAATAATTAGAAACATGTTTCTGAAAAGATGGCGCAGAATTCTTAGGCTGAACTCTTAACATGAGGTAAATTGCACTCACTGATTTCAAAGAGGGGCTGAATTCCAAATTGGACACGCTCAGAAATGTAGATCCTCAAGCATGCAGCTCATACGCTAAACATCCCTAAATGTTTTATTATTCAAAGCATATTAACAAGGCTGTGTAATTTCAGGAAAGGCTCTCGCAATACCTGCTTTGCTTGCCATTCTGTAAAGTAAATATATGCCCTCTTCCCGAGAGAGAGAGAGAGGGGGAGGGAGGGAGGGAGGGAGAGAGAGAGAGAAAGAGAGAGAGATTGTTCCTGACCAGCCCCTGTAGGTACAGCTTCCACCCTCCAAGGGATTGTCATTCCTTGGTCTGGATAAATATAAGTAGTCCTCGGCTGACAAGAGTTCATTTATGAGCCGCGGTGGCGCAGTGGTTGGAATGCAGTACTGCAGGCTACTTCTGCTGATTGCCGACTGACTGCAATTTGGCAGTTCGAATCTCACCAGGCTCAAGGTGGACTCAGCCTTCCATCCTTCCAAGGTAGGTAAAATGAGGGCCCAGGTTGTTGGGGGCAATAGGCTGATTGTCAAGAGTTCCAGCAAACCTCCACTCCAACCAATAACTCCGAGACAGACATCTTCTCAAAAGTTTATTTGGATAGTAAACTGGCACAGCTGGGGAATCCCGATTCTGACAGTTCCGGGCTTCCTTGCAATAAGTAAAAACTACAAATCCATCCCCTGCGCCCATCATCACATCACATGCCCCAATCACCACCCGTCCCAATTTGAGACTTCCTCTCACTTACGCGCCAAAATAACATGACCTTGAATTAGAAAAGGATTGTTATTATGTCTAACTACGTACACTCCAAGAAATTCCCCGCTCCCACTTTCCCAGACTCAAAATGTGGCAGTGTGGGAGCATCTGGTCTCAGTATGACTTCCAAAGCTGACCCCGACTCTGTAAACGGCTTAGAGAGGGCTGGAAAGCACTGGAAAGTGGTATATAAGTCTAAATGCTATTGCTATTTAGTGACATTCGAAGTTACAACGGCACTGAAAACAATGACTTAGGATTGTTTTTCACACTTAGGACCGTTGCAGCCTCCCCAATGGCCGTGTGATTTACATTCAGATCAGTGGTGGGATTCAATTTTATTTTTTTACTACCGGTTCTGTGGGCGTGGTTTGGTGGGCGTGGCAGGGGAAGGATGTTGTCAAATCTCCAGTCAGAGGTGGTATTTGGCGCTTCTCCGAACTACTAAAAATTTCCACTGCCGGTTCTCCAGAACTGGTTAGAACCTGCTGAATACCAACCTCTGACTCAAGATGCTTTGACAACTGACTCGCGTTTATGACGGCGGCAGCGTCCCGGGATCATGCGATCCCCTTTTGCGAGCCTTCTCAGGAGCGAAGTTCAATGGGGGGGAACCCAGATTCACTTCACAACCACGCAACTCGTTTAACAACTGCAGCGGTGGTCAGGAGAAGCAAAGTCGTAAAACGGGGCAAAAATTCCAAATTCACCGAACAACCATTCCTCAGCCCAACGATCGATCGCTTCATCCAAATTCAGACGCTTGACAACTGACTCACATTTAGGACGGCGGCAGTGCCATCCTCTTTGGCAAACCTAACAACCAGCGAAGTCCACAGGGAAATCAGGTTGACTTCACACACACACACACACACACACATGATGTTACTAACTTAACAATTGCAGCGATTCAAGCGCTTAACAACTGTGGCAATGAAATTTGTAAGATGGGGCAAAGACTCCCTTAACGAAATGCCTCGCGCTGAACCACAGAAACGTTGGGCTCAATGGCAGTCGTAAGCCGAGGACTACCTGTATTTGGTTTCAGATCTCCCATGCGACAGGAAGGAAGGCCCCATGTGCGTTTCAAACCCTCTTCCTCTCTGTCCGTATCACACAGAATAATCCCAAAGACAGGCAAAACAGAAGGGAAAGCCAGACTTCTGTTCTGGTTGTTACCACGTTGTTCACAACACACCCTTTCCAAGTCAGGAATGACATTTTTCAGGAACAGCTGACACTGACCCCACTCTGGGCAAAGGCAGAAGGGAGGAACCCAAAGCCACGTGAAGCACCCCACCGCCAGCTCCCCACTACCATGTAGTAGCGTACAAGCAAGTTCCCTTCTCGTTTTATTAACAGGAAGGGGAGAAAGCATTGGGGAGGGGGGGAGGGAGACCGAATACTTCCCCTCGCCCCACAGCGGGAGCAGCTCTCTGGCTAAAACTCACTTGTGTGGGCGGCTGTGGGTCCATAATGCTTACTGGTAAGTTGAAGGTTCCCACCATAACGTAACTGTTGGCGTTGCGGTCATGGACAGTGGAACCTGAGCCCCGGGGTCCCGTGTTGTTGTGAGGGGTGGAGGACAAGCCTGCTCCTGAAGGCCCCCCCGAGGGCGACTGGGTCTGGGGAGGTGCGCGTTCCACCAAGTGGATGACTTTGCCTCCAACATCTGCAAAAACAAGCGAACAAACAAACCGGGATACGTGATCAGATTTCCTTCTCATTCCAAGTCTGGCTGCCTTTGAAGCCTTGAATTATTAAAGAACCGGAAGTTTTTAAGAAGAGACTGGACAAGCATTTGTCTGAAATGCTAAAGGGTTTTCCTCCCTGAGCAGGGGGGGGTTGGACTAGAAGACCTCCAAGGTCCCTTCCAACTCTTTGCTATTCTGTTCTTGCCAGAGCTGCGGTGGCGCAGTGGTTAGAATGCAAGATTGCAGGCTATTTCGACTGGCTGCAATTTGACAGTTCAAATCTCACCAGGCTCAAAGCTGACTCGGCCGTCCATCCTTCTGAGGTCGGTAAAATGAGGTCACAGATTGTTGGGGGAGCAATAGGCAGACTGTAGAACTGCTTAGAGAGGGCTGTAAAGCACTGTGAAGCGGTATATAAGTCTAAGTGCTATTGCTATAGATCATTGAGAAGCATGACCAATACTGCTTCTTTCCCATAAGAAAAGTCCAGGCCTCAAGAATGACTTAATCGCTTGCCCGTTTTTCAGCTACTTCTTTTTTTTCTAGTAAGTTTTTTTAGTTAAAATTAGTGTGTGTGTATGTGTGCATGTGTGTGTATGTGTGTGTGTGTGTATGTATGTATGTATATATATGTATGTATGTAAATGTATATGTATATGTATATGTATATATGTATATGTTGTGACTCAGAGGTTTGAACCTGCTCTGTCAGAAGACATAGGCTCGAGTGATGAGGAAGATCTGGCATTAAGGTTTGAGCCTGCCTTGTTGAATGACATAAATGGGAGTCAGGAGGAAGAGGAGGACTTGGCATTGGGGTTTGAACCTGCTTTGCTGGAAGTTTCGGAATCCTCATCCTCTCCAGGACCTTCCTCATTAGTTATACCTCAGGTGTCGGCAGATAAGCAGGAGAACGTGCCGGAGTCCTTGGATGAAGATCAAACCGAAGAATGTTGGTTTGATGCAAGGAACAGACGTAAGCAGAAATATCAAGCACAAACTGGAAGGAGACGTCGAATCAGGGACTGAGGAAAGAGACTGACACGCCCCTCAAAGAATATAAGGAGGTGTGTTAGCTTTGAATCCCCGTTCGGGTCAAACTTGTTAATTTGCGTCTGCAATTTGGACAAAGTATTCTGTTTGCCGTTCGTCTCTGATTTATAGTTCTGCTCGTTATCAGAATTTGCAGACAGCTTCTGGGAAATTTGCCAACGACAAATTCAGCCAAAGGAAAGTTAACTCTGTTGTTCCTGATATTGTCTGTTCGTGTTTTTTCTTTGGACATTTGGACTCTCACCTCGTGGCCACAGGTGAGACAGAACATGTATATATGTGTGTATATGTGTGTGTATATATGTATGTGTGTATATGTATATATGTATGTGCGTATGTATGTATATATATGTATGTATGTATATAAATGTATGTGTATGTATGTTTATCTGGATCTAAACATCTAAATAAGCCTGGATTTGTTCAGTGAATCATACTTGAAACTGTAGAATTTATCCATGTCTTGCAAATATGCTTATATATAGGAAAGTCCAAACTGCATCCTCCGGAAATTTAATGAAGCTGGGAGATTTCCCCACCAGCCATTCCCTTGCTCAAAACATATTCATCTTTAATTAGAACTCAAGTTGTACATAATACAGGTAGTTCTCGACTAACAACTCCTTTAGTGACCGTTTGAAGTTATAACGGCGCTGAAAAAAGTGACTTATGACCGTTTTTCACACTTATAACCATTGCAGCATCCCCATTGTCACGTGATCAAAATACTGCCATGTATTTATGGCAACTGGCAGCGTCCCGGGGGTCATGTGATCACCTCTCATGAAGCGCAATGACAAGCAAAATTAATGGAGAAGCCAGATTCACTTAACAACTGTGTTACTCACTTTAACAACTGCAGTGATCCACTTAACAACTATGGCAAGAAAGGCTGTAAAATGGAAAAAGAACTCACTTAACTAATGTCTCACTTAAATTTTGGGCTCAATTGTGGTCGTTAAGTCAAGGACTACCTGGACACATTAATGTAATGTAATGTGTCATACTCCTGGTGGAGACTGACTCTGAGGGAGAGGAGGAACAGCGACAGGGAGTGGAAATATGGCTCCAGAGGTTGTGGAGGAGGCTGGGGAAGGGCAGAGGCCGGCTGAGCAGTCAGAGGAGGACCCAGGCCCATCCCCTATCCATCCTAGGGCATGCAGGGAGGAGAGGATAAGGGAGAGACATGGTCTACTTGGGAGGAGAGGGCCTTGATCATCTTCATGGGAGGAAGGTGTGAGAACTGGATAAGAGGATGGACATGCGTATGGGTGAATGCTGGAAACAAAGCGTGTTTTATTTTGGTCTGAAGTTATCTTGGTTGGCGTCCTTCCAACCGACTGTGCCTTGTTATCTCCTTGAATTTGGTAAATACTTCTCCTGTTCCATTGTGGAAATTTCATCATTGTAGTTTGGGTTTTTTTATTCCACCTCTATCTGCTCATTAAATTCGGACTGTTTTGCTTTCTTTTGAAGACTATTTTTGAGTATGTTTTATCTCCAACTGAGTATTATTGAACAGTTGGAAGCATTAAAGGACGTTTATTTACGTTTTGGATTTTGTTACATTTGTGTTACACTCTGGGTCATCACTGTAATGTAATGTCATAAATAATGTAATATAATATACTGTATATTACTATTATTATGTTGTAATACATAATGTATGTAGATATAAGATGTACAAGACGTACATAGATTTCCAAACATGCATGCAAGTACATCTAGCAGGAAAACAATTGGTAAAGAAAGAGGCAACTACTTCATTTCCCAACCTGAATGTCTCAAGACCGATTCCAAACTTTCATTCCAACAATTTTGCACTCAACCCAGCGGTTATGAGTCTCTGCCAAAATAACTCAGGAGTGAGCACCTCGTGCAAAATATGAATTTCATTCTGGGCAGCCTTTATGGAAGCAAAATGCTAACATTTCGGGGGGGGGAGCTTTTCCCAGTGTGAACTTGGCCGTACCCTGGGTCATAACCACCACCCCTGTCTCCCAACACCCCCCCGCTCCCCCCGTTCACTTCAAACCCCCCCTCCCAACCTTCCCTTGGTTCCCGACTCACTGTATTCTTTCAATTTCTTGTCATCTTGTAGGACTCTCCCTTGATAGATGAGGCGCTGTTTTTCGGAGGGAATGTTGACTGAGCCCGCTATGTGCTCCTTGAACTCTTTCACGGTGATCTACGGAGCAAAAGGAAAACTGGTGGAAAAAAAAAACCACCCGGAGGAAACTCTCTTCCCGCTATTCCTTCACCAGAACCTGCCCTCTCTATGGCACCTGCCTAGGAAAGCCCGAACAATGAAGGAAGCTCCTCCATTCTGCAAAGGGGCTGTTAGGAATGTAAGTCACCTAATAGTTGGGTTGGAAAATATATAAACCAGGATAGACATTTTAATACTGTCTCTTTAATGCTAAAATTGTAATTGGGTGTGGTTCCTCAAACGGCCATAAGATGGAGCCAGAAACCTGGGTTGTTCTGTTGTTGCTGAGAGTGTTGCTGTTCCTCCTATTGACTGTTGCTGATCGTTGTAAGTCTGTTACTGAACTGTTTTTGATACTGGACTTTGTTGTTTGGATTATCCCTGGACTGAAAACTGACTGCTTTAATTGTGAATGACTTGGACTGCTTGTTTGGACTTTGCTTAAAGGTTTATTCGAAGTAAAAACCTACATTTTACAATACAGTGTATCTGTGTGCTGTTTGTGTGTTATTCTTCTCCACTCTCACTACGTCTCCCTGTGTGCGCTCATTCTCCTAACGGGGAATTACCTCACACTGGTTATGGGCCCAGGCCATACCAGGCTCAGATAACTGAGAGTTGGTGTGAATGCACGGTACTGTATATAGACAGCTGTTTACTGTTTAATTGTGGTTTACTGTCCTGGTAAAGATGACACAAGACACTTCAACAAGTCTATCACTGATAACCCGGTTGGATGGAACAAACTATGTTTCCTGGTCTATGAAGTGCAGTCTACTTCTGTGTAGAGAAGGGTTATGGAATGTAGTTCAAGACCCCTCCCCCCGGATGTAAATGCTTGGGATCCAGAAAATGGGGATGATGCCAAGAAGCTTGCTGACTTTAAACAGAACGAACGAGCTCTTGATATAATTAGACTAACACTGAGTGACCAGCAGCTAGTCCATATTCGTGGAGAAGAGTCTGCTGATAGGTGTGGGGAGAATTTGAAGAAGATTTATGTTCGTGACAGTGTAGGTGCACACATACATCTTACACGTAAACTGTTTAGAGCACGTCTTCTGAAAGGTGGAGATATGTTCGCTCATTTGAACTTCATGAAAAGAACTTTTCAAGAGCTACATGAAAAGGAACTGATACTTTCAGAGCTGCATCAAGTTTACGTCATTCTTTCCTCATTGGATGACCGTTATGATGATTATGTATCTTCACTGGAAGTCCTGCCCAGAGATAAACTGACATTGACCGACATAACCAGAAAGTTGTTAGAATAAGCAAGAAGACGACTGGATAGGGACCAACTGAGAAAGGAAAAACCACAAGAAGAGGATTTGTGTTCAACTGCCTATACTGTTAGGAAATGTTTTTCTTGTGGGGCTAGGGGACATACAGATAAATTCTGTAAGAAGGGAAAATGACAGAATACTGGTAATCACCAAAAGAATGTTAGTTTAGCTACGTCTAGCAATTCAACTGTAAACCATGATTTGTGGGTTGTTGATAGTGGAGCATCACAGTGCATTTCTAAAGATAGAAAGAGGTTTGTAAAGATGTCCACGAGTAAACAACATGTATCACTGGCAAATGGATGGAAGATTAACGCGTCTGGTGAAGGTACTGCATATTGTTCTTGTGTAAATGAACATTTAACTATATTATATGTACCTAAACTGAAATTTAATTTATTATCAATAAGGGCTTTAGTTAATCTTGGTTATGTAGTAACCTTTAGGGGAGATAACTGTATAATAGAGAAAGAGGGTAAAAGTGTTACTGCTACTTTAGAGAATGATTTATATGTGGTACATGATGACCAGTTGAAGATAGCTAACTCGGTTTATAACAATGTTAAGCCACATGATGAATGTATACATTTACTACATAGACATCTGGGGCACATTAATATACATATTTATCTATTATAAGTATTATATATACATATACATATATGTATATGTATATATATGTATAATAAATATACATATACATACATACATACAGATATATATATATGTATAATATACATACTTCATACATCGTACATACATATTTCCTGACTGCCCTCTTACCACAGAGCAGTGATGGCGAACCTTTTCCGCACCGAGTGCCAAAAAGGTCATGCAGAAATGTCGTGCGCGCATGTGCTCATCAGAGCCACGCTCCAGAAAAGCCAAACTTCTGGGTTCTAGCATGCATGCACGCCTGACGATCAGCTGGCCAGCACACATGCGCAGGCTGGGACACTGCCACATGCGCAAAGGGATTGTGCTCCAGAAAAGCCAAACTTCTCAGTTCTGGCGCACAGGCGCAACCGACAATCAGCACTGGCACGCGGGCGAAGGACAGCTGTTTGTCGCCCACACATGCTCGCTAGAAACCCGGAAGACAAACAGGCAAGTCCGCGCACGCCAGGCGACATGGCTCTTCCCGTCCCACTTTGGGCAGGCGTGCCAGAAGTTTGCCATCACGGCCATAGGGTAACTCTGGGCAGCTTACACTTACAGCTAAGTTAAGACATCCAAAGTTAAAATCAAACTGCCTTGCTTAACAACAAAAATATGGAGGTAAATTGTGGTCGTAAGTCGAGGACCACTTGTGCTATCATTTCTTCCTAGAGGAATTAAATATTTAACCGCTGCTCTTTTCACACTTTGGCCTGCATTTGTTCTTCACACCAGTCCCTCCAGAATTCTTTTTTTTTTTTTTATTTCTTCCTGACCAACAAGTAGGCCCAGGGATCTTTTGCTCATAATCTGTTACCTTAGAGCAGGAAACTGTGAGTTCTGCAAAGCAGCACTGATACACTGTTGAGATACCTCAGGCATAAAAGCAACAGCCCCATCCACTTTCCTGCTGTTATCCAAATTTAGGGGAATCTTACTTACCTCTCCTTCTACTGTGAATGTTCTTGTTTGAGAGTCCAAGGTTTTTATCATCACCTCGAGGTTCTCCACCTCCGCCATGGTTAACTAGATTTTTCTGTCAGAAACAAGAAAACTGGTAAATGTCTCTGGAGATTCTGTCATCCTGGTCACGGTTGTCCCAAAGGTGCTTTTTTCAAGAGCCAACTGGACTTTCTGGTTTTTCTTTGAAGACCTTCCACTTCTCATCCAAGAAGCTTCGTCGGCTCTGACTTCCTCATCATCCAGTCAGAGCTGAAGAAGCTTCTTGGATGAGAAGCGAAACGTCTTCAGAGAAAGAAAAAGAAAAAGAAAGTCCAGTTGTCTCTTGAAAAAGTACCTCTGGAAGAAAACTGGCAGGTTTCATTTATGGAGACTGTAACTCACAAGTTTAGCATTGCCAGAAAAAGGAAGAAATATCTAAGAAATAAGAAAGCCAATTTTCCAAATTATTGCTTTCCAAATAAGTCCGTCTTTCAGGGAAGTTTTTATATAAAAGCCATCCATTCACTATAGGACATATGATCAAACCGAAGGTTTAAAAAGTACCATTTCACATTCTTCGGTGTAGAGTAACGTAAAATGTATATAACATGAATTAGAAATCATTTTACACTGACTTTGGAGAAAAATCCATTCGTAACTATCAATGTTACCCACATAAAAATCTAGATATACCAGTAGTATAACTCACTACTTCCAGAAATTTCAATTAGTATTATGACAAACTTCTGTAATTCTTAGAGTATTAAACACTTTCCCTTTCCTAGAAAAGAAACACTAGTGACAATAATCACACTCAAATTTAAAAAAAAAGCCTGCTAGAATGTCTTTAAAACACATTTGTTGAGAAATTCTAATATTTGAACTTCACTTCCTTAGTCACAATTCATTCCGTCTTCTCATGGCCTTACCACTAATAAATATTTTTATTTTTATCTACAGTGGATACACTTAACAGCAAGAAAAGTTGTAAAAACGGAACAAAACTCACTTAACGAATGTCTCGCTCAACAACAGAAATTTTGGGCTCAGTTGTGGTCGTAAGTCAAGGATTACATGTACTGTATTTACATAATACATAACTGTGTTTCTGTTTTGTTCCCAGGTTTGCCTTCAGTTTGAATCTAATGCCACAGCATCATCAAAAAAAACATTTTAAAAAAGTACACACTTTGAAAGATTTGAAATGTATGGTCCCATTATGAGTTTTATGTAGGAGTTTGGAAAATGTCCTAAACCCAAAACTGGCCCATTCAAGGGTTGTCTCATTTTCAATAATAATGTTGCAAGGCCAGAATATTTTGCATATCCATAGTTTCATTCCACATCCACGCCTTGAATAGAAACAGTTAAAGGTCAAATTCTATTCATCCTGGAGGCTGAGTCCCAATGAACAGTGTAAGGTCTGGTAAACAAGATATGACTAAGTATACAGTCTCCCTTCTTCATGGCGGAAAAGCTAATAACGCCACAAAACTGTCTAGCCGTCAGCCTATGTATCCTTAGGGTTAATATTATTTGTGGCCCACATTGCTTTTCATGGTCTTTGAAAAATTCTAACTGACCTCCAATGACCTGACAAGCAGCAATTTAAAAGATGGTCTTAAAAGCCTAGGAGGAAGAACAAGAGAAAGAAAAAACCCAGATTATTAACAATACTCATTTGAAGAAGAAAAAAAAGACAGGTAATTTCTACAATCCTACTCCTTGGAAGAAATTCAGTTTTAATAAATATCCAGATATCGATAAATAGTGCAAGTATCCTTAAGCTTTATAAATAAGTAAGACTACAATTAACTATTTGTTTATAAGTAACCAAAAATCAATAAAAACATTAGTCAGGAAACATGGCTATAGGATTAGGGCCGCTGAACCTCATTTCACCCAGCCTAACATTGATCACAACCTTACATTCCCTAGCAATCGTTACTGCCCTTTCCAGAAGGTATCAGGTTCAAATCCCTTTCCAACCACGCAACTCACCTGACAGTCCCTCCAATTAAGTCTTTGCATAGTTTGACCTACTCTATTCATTAAAAGCAAATTGCAATTTCTTTTAATCAACCTTTTTTTTTTTCAGTGCAAGTTGATAAAAGTCAGTCCTATATCAAGTGTGTCCAACCCATGGCGCCCATGACCCACATACGGCCCTGAACAGGTTAATAATGCAGCCCTACTTTTTACATTATTATGCGCATGTCTATACATTAACTGTATTATATATTTTATATAGGGCCCAAGACAAGTCAGTATGGCCCAGATAAGCCAAACAGTTGGACACGCCTGGCTTAACTAGTATTGTTATCAAGAGAAAAGCTGAAAGAATTCAGAAGGGATTCATTCAATCCATCTCCCCCAAACTGTACAGATGAGAATAAAACGTCCTCTAAGCTAAGCAGCAGAATTAGCCTATTGTCTCTCTTCAGTTCAGAACCACAATTTCTCCTCTTCAACTTGCGGTACATCGTGATCAGAAATACCAGAAGGACCTATCCAAAAAAACACACCCCTAAGGCTCCTAAAGAACGACCCTTTGTTACTACTGACAAAAAGAAAAAGTATCACCAGACTATCCCAAAGGTGTCCCTTCTTCCCCCCCCCCC